ACATGGAGGCAGTGCTTAAAAAGTCACATGGAGGCAGTGCTTAAAAAGTCACATGGAGGCAGTGCTTAAAAAGTCACATGGAGGCAGTGCTTAAAAGCCTGAATTTTGCCTGAAACTCTCAGACTGAAGAAGTCTCTTGGAGGAGAGACGAAACGTTTCATTAGAGAAGAACCCGTCCAGAAGACCTATACAATTTTTTTCTTTTTGATTTTTTTACCTGGATTACTGAGATGCATCAGGACTTCCTGTTAAAGAGAGTTTTTCCTCTCCACTGTCACCAATGTGCTGCTCAGGATGGGAGACTGTGATGAAGTGATTTCACACAATCTGCTGGCTTCCTTGGATTGTTTTTTTTTTTTTTTTTAGGTTACAGTCCCCTGGGATTACATATGTTGTGACTTAGTACTATATAAACTGAATTGAATTGAATTATTGTAATATTTAGCCAGTAGGACAGCTCACATCAGACACAAAGGACATTGCCAAAAATGCTAAAGGTCACAAAGTAGGAAGTACAGATTAGAAAGTGAGGAAAGAAAAAAAGGTCTATATCGCACCTGATATTGTCGTTGTAATATTTACTAATATTATTGCCATTGCAAGATTTTCTAATATCATGCAGCCCTAGTCTGGTGTAATAATAAACAATAGCAACTATAAAGGTTTGTTTTAAATTTAGACACGTTAGAAACAGTCTGCCTCTGGAATGCTTTTATTTTGAAAGTAATTTATGCATCTTTAAAAGTCCCTCCCCCTTTTTTTAGCAGCATCTTCTTTGTCTTAACTGTATGACAAAAAAAATTGTGCTTTTTAAGATAATTTATGGTATTTGTTCTTAAAGTCCWGAACAAACACCAGAACAGAGTCCTTGGCTCTGCAGGTTTACTTGTGGTTCCTAGAGTTACTAAAATGAGAGGCAGAGCTTTCAGTTTTTAGGGTTCTTTGTTGTGGAACCAACTTCTTGTTTTTGACCATGAGGCTGACGCTCTGTCTAGTTTTAAGACTTTCTACTTTATAAATCCTATAGTGGGTTTCCTGAGCTGGCCTTTAGTTGTGCTGCTATAGGTTTAGGCTGTTGAAAGTCATAACTGAGGTCTTCATTTCCAGAGGAAAAAGGCAAAAGTTGTTTTTTTAACAGCCCCTCTGTCCCAAAAAACAAAACAAAGCTGAAAAATTGCACCTTTTAGTAATTAGTAATTTAATCATTTTACTGGTTGTTAATGAACTCCTTCAGTCATTTTAATGACTATATGCTTTAAGTTTTAGTTAAGCATTTTGTATTAACTGTTCATTTGACACTTTTATGTAAATRTGCTTAAATAAATCACAAGTAGAAATCTGCCTGCAGTAAACAAGTTCCAAAAAGAAAATATATTCTCATTTATTTTGTAGGTTGTAAATCAAACATGTGGGTTTCCTGTTTGTTGAATGGTTTTATTTTAGATTTGATGTGAATTATTTTCAAAGTCACTCCCTGCAAATCGGATAACTTTACATTTCGAATCATAAAATGTGTTTCTAAAATAGTTTTGCTCCAAAGTACCAAGTTTCAAGTTTGAGGGAGGTTTTGTATAACAAGTCAAGTGCAACCAAGCATTTTATTTCTGACAGAGGAGGGGGTTTGGTGGGACAGCTGCTTCCCTGTGAGGCCCAGCAGGTAACATAAGAGGAAATTCAAGCAGCAGGAACTCCTGAAACAACCTTTTCTCTCCTACGAAGGAAAAAGSTTGTTTTTCTTATTATTTGATCTATTAATGCCTTTTTTCCTCTGCTCTTCTTCCCTGCTCTCCCCTCCTTTGTCCTGCAGTATGTTCCTCCAGACATGTGTATTTGTAACTTTGTGCTGGAGCAGTCCCTGTCGGTCCGAGCCCTGCAGGAGATGCTGGCTAACACCGGACAAAGCAGCGAAGGGGTGAGTCCATCTTTATGGTCGCTCTTCTCACTGGTAACCTTTTAAAGCATGCTCACACGATGCTTACTCGCCCAGAAGAACCAGCTTGTGATTTGACGTCTGTGCAAGTAACCACTTCTATCATTTTGACACTTAATGTAACAGTCTTCACAGCAATGTCCAGTGAACGTAATTTACTAAAAGCGTTCCTAAATAAGCCCTCACAGGCAGAGTGGCTGAAGATCAGGAGGTGAAAATGTACTGATGCTGCAGAAAGAAGCTCCTCGTTTCAAATGCAGGATGGGTCAGAGATACTTTGAAGCCTTCCAATGAGAACCAGGTCCAAAATTCTGCTTTTCTTAAATTATTTATAAAAGAGTGTTAAGCAACAGGAAGCAAAATCACTTTGCTTACTTTGAATGTGACATTAGGGTATCGACTGAAGATTTGACATCATTTTGAAGTGAAACTTAAAAAGTTAAACTCTTTGATTTGATGCAGGCAGTCAGACCTGTTAGCTCTGACAGACGAGTTGATCTGACTTTTTGTCAAATCAGAATGTTTTGTTTTTGCTGCTGACATTTATTTTTGGACCTTTTTGAAGTAGTGTCCTGTGGAGTTATTATCAGAGATTAATATCTTATCTGCAGTGAAAGAATTTCAGAATATTATCACTTTTTTTATCCAGGTTCTGTTGGGAGAAACCAGCAGGACTAGTCAGAGCTGGTTCGCTGGTAGCTTTTGTCAATAATAATTAAATTTAAGTAGTTCATTTTTAAATTTTTTTAAATTCTGTATGATTTTAAGGCTTCTGTGTTAAAGGTGTGGTAACAACAGCTAAACATAAAGCTTCACCAGTATGATTATGATTAGGCCTGTCGTGATGAGCAATAAAAACCTATCGTCCAGCAAAATTAGTTATCGTGACAGGCCAAAATATGTTTGGACAAATGTAACTGTAGTCACAGAACTGAATATACAGTGGTTTGCAAAAGTATTCATACCCCTTGAACTTTTCCATATTTTGTCACATTACAACCACAAACATAAATATATTTCACTGGAATTTAATGTGAAAGACCAACACAAAGTGGTATACAATTGTGAAGTGGAAGCAAAATTTTACATGAATCAAAACATTTTTTACAAATAAAAAACTGAAAAGTGCGATGTGCAAAATTATTCAGCCCCCATGAGTCAATACTTTGTGGAGCCACCTTTTGCTGCAATTACAGCTGCAAGTCTTTTAGGGTATGTCTCCACCAGCTTTGCACATCTAGTGACTGCAATTCTTGCCCATTCCTCCTTGCAAAACTGCTCAAGCTCAGTCAGATTGGATGGAGAGCGTTTGTGAACAGCAGTTTTGAGATCTTGCCACAAATTCTCAATTGGGTTTAGGTCTGGACTTTGACTGGGCCATTCTAACACATGAATATTCTTTTTTTTAAACCACTCCATTGTAGCTTTGGCTTTATGTTTAGGGTCGTTGTCCTGCTGGAAGGTGAACCTCCGCCCCAGTCTCAAATCTTTTGCTGACTCCAACAGGTTTTCTTCCAAGATTGCCCTGTATTTGGCTCCATCCATCTTCCCATCAACTTTGACCAACTTCCCGGTCCCTGCTGAAGAGAAGCACCCCCAGAGCATGATGCTGCCACCACCATATTTGACAGTGGGGATGGTGTTATCAGAGTGATGTGCAGTGTTCTTTCTCCGCCACACATAGCGTTTTGCATTGTGGCCAAAAAGTTCAATTTTGGTCTCGTCTGACCAAAGCACCTTCTTCCACATGTTTGCTGTGTCCTCAACATGGCTTCTGGCAAACTGCAAACGGGACTTCTTATGGTTTTCTTTTAACAATGGCTTTCTCCTTGCCACTCTTCCATAAAGACCACATTTGTGTAGTGCACGACTAATTGTTGTCCTGTGGACAGTTTCCCCCACCTGAGCTGTGGCTCTCTGCATTTCATCCAGAGTCACCATGGGCCTCTTGGCTGCCTCTCTGATCAGTGATCTCCTTGTTCGGCCTGTAAGTTTAGGTGGACGGCCTTGTCTTGGCAGGTTTACTGTGGTGCCATACTCTTTCCATTTCCGGATGATGGATTGAACAGTGCTCCGTGAGATGTTCAAAGCTTGGGAAATCTTTTTATAACCTAAGCCTGCTTTAAACTTCTCCAAAACCATATTCCTAACCTGTCTGGTGTGTTCTTTGGACTTCATGATGCTGTTTGCTCCCCAATATTCTCTTAACCAACATCTGAGGCCGTCACGGAGCAGCTGTATTTGTACTAAGATTAGATTACACACAGGTGGACCCTTTTGAGTCATTAGCAGTCATCAGGCAACTTCTGAATGCAATTGGTTGCACTCAGGGAAAAGGGGGCTGAATACTTTTGCACGTCGCACTTTTCAGTTTTTTATTTGTAAAAAATGTTTTGATTCATGTAAAATTTTGCTTCCACTTCACAATTGTATACCACTTTGTGTTGGTCTTTCACATTAAATTCCAGTGAAATATATTTATGTTTGTGGTTGTAATGTGACAAAATATGGAAAAGTTCAAGGGGTATGAATACTTTTGCAAACCACTGTAGTTGTAGGTAGGGCTGCACGATAACAGGAAAACCGGCGATGTGCGATAACGGTGCTTAATGTTGCGATGAAAAAATAATTAAATATGCAGTGTTGATGTCTTTCTGCTCTGGGTTTAGAGCAGAAAAACAACTAATACATCATTTCAATTCCAACATGACAGAGTGGTTATGATTTGATGTGGTGTCTCCGGTCCATTTTGTTCATCAGACTGATGCTGACGTTTACATTTACGTTTACATTTAAATATATATTTAAATCCAGTTACTTTACTGTCTTGTAGTCAGGTGGCTCTGCAGGACACGCAGCCTTTCACTGAATGCTTCAGAGAAACTACACGTTTTATTCATTGCAACACGTTCCTGCTCCGGCTCTGATTGTAAAACACCTTCAGGTGCAACGAAAGGAGGGAAATGATCTGTGAGTGCTCTGCTGCACTCTCTGCATCGTCCCTCTTCACCCTCCGCCCTTTTTGATTTTACTCCAAACATTTTTGAGTCTCTTTTTTTTCTCTCTCCTGGCTCAGCTCGAGCTTACTCAGCATGTTTATCAGAGCAGGATCCTGCTGATTCTCTGTTGTGCCGTAGGAGTGTCATTTCTAATATCAAAGTACTGTTATTACAGGATGTGTGCAATCAATAAACCCTCTGTAACGTTCACTAAAGCTATTTGAATCTTTCACATTTAATTTTTTTTAATTACTTTAAGTCTCAGCTGTTGAGAGAAATGAAGAGATYGGAAGGATGCACCAAAACAAAGAGAAAACAATGCTTCTTGTCTAATAGATCATATCATTTGGAATAAGTTGCTTGATATTGCCATTGTTTTTAATATGAGGAAAAAACTCCTTGTTCCTCCATACATGCGGTCTGAGCCTTTGTTAAAGCAATGCACCAAATTATTATGAGACGCTTGAGACGGACCGCCTGTATTGTAGGAATAAAGCAGCTGAAGTAGCATGAGCGGTTGTGCAGTATAAATGTGGCAGATACAGGAACTCGAGCACTACCAGATATTCTGAAGCTGGTTTTAAGACAAATTGGGCACAAAATCCCTCCATGCAAAGCAGTTATGAGTTGCTGTGGTCACAGTTGTCCTCTGATGGAGGATTGCTCTCACAGCCTCATCTCTTGGGTACCGCCCAGGGTCCCCTGCAGGAGAGAGAGTCAGGCCTGCATTGTTATTAGCCCGGGCAGCAGATTTGTTTTGTGCTCAACATCTTTGGCTGGCCTCGTTTGGCGAGGCGACATGATGTTGGCGAGAATACAAACTGTCTGGTACCAGAGGCTGATAAATCACCCCTTTAGTTTCCACGGTCAGGGCCCATTTCTCCACATTGTTGCTCCCAGACCTGCACAACCTCACATCCCGATAACTCCTTCTTTTCATTTGTATTTGTTTGTTAATAGAGTGCTGACCATGAAAAATGGGTAGGTCCATCAGTTTGCTCCTCCATCATGTTGTCACTGTGCATGACAGACTAACTGAGGGGGGGCTGAACCTCAGGCACTTTCACTCAATCTAATGCCTTTTTCTTGATTGTCGCAGCTGCATTTATCACAAACAAAGCATCTATTTTAGAAGTTTTACATTGTAATTAAACCTTAACTTTATGGGTGTAAAATTCTCAAACAAATGAAGCCTTCAGCTGATATTAGAGCAACATATTTTCCTTCTTCTTCATCATCTGGAAACTGTCAGATCTTTGAAATATGACAATCATGAAATGGCTCTGCACTGGTGGTCGTCACCTTTTCTCCATGAGTGAAAGTCTTCGCCTGGCCCCTTTTTGTGTGCAAACGTCCAAGTGCTCAAAACTCATAAGGTCTGCTTCTTGCTTGCTTATAACATTCAAAAGACCCTCTTTAAGCTGCATTAATGAAAGCACATTCCAACCAACGAGTCGTGCATTGTGCTGCTCTGTTTTCTCTGAGTTTGGTCTCTGAAAAGAAACGGTGTCGACAAGAGGAAATGTTCTGAAATCAGCTTTGATTTCAGATGTGTAACGGTTCAAAGGACTGTCTTTTTAATTTTAAGGTAACATCAATGATGAGTTTTCATTTTGTAGACAGTTGTCAAACACTAACATCCCATTTTGAGCGCTGTTATAAAGACATGAAGTGTAATCCTGGAGAATCAATAAATCAGATGGTAAGGAACTTAATAAATCAGTCCAGCTTCAGTAGTTTCTCTACAGCATTGAAAAATTGATTAGTTTGCCATTTACCATCCGCTGACCGCTCATATAAGATGAGCTATCAACGTAACATTTCAGCAAAGTACTTAGTCATCATTTGGTGTAAAAACTCTGACTCTGCCAAAAAGAAGCCGACAGTTTTTATTTCTGTGAAGGAAAGTAGGTAAAAACTAAACTGATGTGTCAAGGATTAATTTGTCTGAGTGATTCATAAAGAATCTTGTGTCTGGTGTCCTCTGCTGGTCATGAAAGTGTCAAATGAAAGAAGTAATGATGTTATTTTATCTTGGATATATCTGGTTGTAGGTAAAAAGAGTGGATAGTTCTGAAAATTAAATTTTGTAAACTCCAAAGCCGTTTGGGTTGAAATCAGTTCTCTTGTACCTGAGAGAGGTAGGACCAGGACCAGGACCAGGAGCTTGGCGGATTTATGCGACGTTGAGGAAGATGCTGAAGAGCAAACCAGGATGGGTTAGACAGGTTTAAAACATGACATCACCTACAAGAACTGCAAGGTCTGTTTGAGGTTGTTTTTATTGACCTCCAGAACAAATAACACGAATCTCCACTGAAAATACACATCTGAGTGCATTTAAATCCATCATATCATGAAATACTAAATGATTGTATTTGTAAACCCAAAGTTTAAACAGTATGGAACATCAACTTTTAGAAGGTTTTCCATTAATATGTTGAACTTTGACTCAYGTTCGTTGTTTTCCAGGTGAGTATGAACCAAGAGATACTGTTGTGTTTATCTAACTCACACTTTGCTTTTTTATTTTGCTGCTAGAGAGTAATTAAAAAGGTAGGTACTCGTTTTTGTACTTGGCRTAAAGATGGCGACAAACAAAAATCCCATTTTCCTTGTTATTTACACATTTCCTCGGGTGTTTTGCTAACACACAGTTTGCTGCAGTTATTCTTGTCTGTCACAAGAATGAGAAAGTTGTCCACGTGTGATTTTAACGTTTACTCTCATCACCTTGTTTCCTGCTTGCACCGTGAGCTGAAAATACAACCCCCTGTGGAGATATTTGATGGTGTAAATTCTCAGTCATCCGGGACATGGCTGCCCTAAGACTTTGAACAGAAGTTAACTGGACCAAGATGTTTCACCTGCCATCTGAAAAGCTTCTTCTTTAGTGAACTCAACTCTGAATCCATGACACGAGCTGAAGAAGTGTTTTAGATGACCGATAAAACATCTTCAAAGAAAGAAGTCTGGTTCTCTTTAATTCAACTCTTAGGATTTCTTGAGTTCTTCTGGCTTTATCCGAGCGAGAATAAAACGCAGAAGGAACTCAGATTTGAGACCAATCTCATTTTCTTTTATTACTCCTAAATTTCTAGTGACCTGCTAAGTCATGAGAATTAGAGCCTGAAATATTCGCCCTGGAGCTGAGATACACCTGTAAGAAAACACTCTAAATTAGATGTTGAAAACCAAATAAGTTCTCAGTTAAATGTTAATTTTCGGTTCAAAAAGCCACTTTCCCACTCAGAGCCTGTTTCTCTGAGTCTAAAAACAAAATGTTCCTCAGTCTGTGTCCTTACGCTGTTCTTAATATTAATATAAAACCTGGTCACACCCCTAGTTGTTGTCCCTCTTACATCAGCCTGAAATGTTAAGTATTACTGTTACGCTGCTGAAGGGAGGCACACATTAGAGACAAGTTGATTCTCTTCCTGATTTAAAGTAAACGACTAAAACTGATCACAAAGTGAAGCTATAAAATTCAGTTAATCCTTCACACCTTCTAAAGAAAAAATAAATATTTCTTAAAGGGATTCCTGATTAGTTGTAACATTAGACTTTATTTGATAAACATTTATTTTAACTGTAAAATAAAAACTGTAAAAATACTGTAGGCTGTTTAGTTTTGTAAATTTTTAAAAATATGTTTTAACACAGAGCCATTTTATTCCCACACAAAGCATTCTGGGTAAATGATGACGTGGATAGGTCCTCGGTGCGAGGCTGCTAGCGAGCTATATCCACCCTGAAGGTTAATCTTGGACAATATCTGATGATCGACTCTTTTAAATGAAACCAGAGAGCGTTGACAGAGAGGAGAAGGTAGAAATGACTCAGCCTGGAACTGAAAATATGGATGGAGGACAACAGAGCAGCTTCATGGAAGAACAACCTCAGATTAGCCTGTTAGCTTTAGCGTTAGCCTCGATGCTATCACCATATATATGTATTAGCTCAGCGCTACACATTCTCCTCTCATCACTGAGGTCCTCCATCCACATGACAGAGAGGAACACAAAAATGACTCAGCCTGTAACTGAAAATATGGATGGAGGACCTCAGCTTAGCTTGTCGAGCTAGCACCGAGCTAATACAAATAAGGCAACATCGTGTCGGCGCTAGTGTGAAGGCTAACAGGCTAAGCTGAGGTTGTTCTTCCATGAAGCAGCTCTGTTGTCCTCCATCCATATTTTCAGTTCCAGGCTGAGTCATTTCTACCTTCTCCTCTCTGTCAACGCTCTCTGGTTTCATTTAAAAGAGTCGATCATCAGATATTGTCCAAGATTAACCTTCAGGGTGGATATAGCTCGCTAGCAGCCTCGCACCGAGGACCTATCCACGTCATCATTTACCCAGAATGCTTTGTGTGGAAATAAAATGGCTCCATCCGTGTAATATATTTTTAAACTTTTAGTTTAAAAATGATAAAAACTGAACATCCTATWGTATTTTTACAGTCTTTATTTTACAGTTAAAATATATGTTTATCAAATAAAGTCTAATGTTACAACTAATCGTGGATCCTTTTAAATGAATTAATGTTTTTAATATTTTAACAGGTAGCTCAGACATCTTACAGGTGAGTCAGCARAGATTGAAGCCTCATCGTTTGATGGGTCAGATAGCTGAATATTAAATTATTTTGCCTCTTCAACCCTTAGCATGAATGAGTGGAACGATAGCATAAGGCTAATTAGAAGTAAAAGATAATGGGATTTGGTCTTAATATCTTTCTCACGGATGGAGTTAAAGGTTTTTCGAGGTGGAAAACGTGAAGCGATGAAATTAATTTGTTGCCTCCTATTTGTATTCAGGCGGGTCAGGGGGGTGGACACCGGACCCTGCTCTACGGTCACGCCATCCTGTTACGCCACTCCTTTAGTGGCATGGTGAGTAGTAACGATACACGCAGAAACTACGTGATGGCAGTCTGATTCTGATTAAAGTGCTGTTTTYGTTTGTCTTCGATTCTTCATTCATATTTGCTCCAAAAGATAGTTCAGATGTTTGAAGTGGGGCACTGTGGAGAGGGAAGAGTTAATCACAATCAGAAATAATTCATTGATCCCAGAGGGAAATTACAGTTATTACAGTTATTACAGCTGCCGTCCTTCAACTAAAAATAATTTTATTATTTTTAATATTTCTTATAAAATATGTACTGTACTCTTTTTATTTAGGCAGTTAGTCTCATTGAGACGTGTAGTCTCATTTACAAGAAAGACCTGAGACACATACATATCAGTTACACAAATATCATGAACGTCAAGTTACAATTTGGGGAAAGCAGAGTTAAACACACAACCTAAAAACGAGCACAATTCAAATTATGTTTTTTTCCATTTCCTTTAAAATGTGTTTAAAATGACCCAGTGTGATCAAACTGGACAGTATGGTTAATATAAAGATTATGGATACTATAAACRTCCCCAATAAGATGATACGTTGCACATGTTTGAGTATTATCAYTGATTAAAGTGAGAATTTTTTTTCTACTTATTTAAACAACTGGAGAAACAGAGTTTAATTCCAAGTGGAACTAAAATCAAAGTGGACGATGCATTCCTAACCCTCTGAAATCACTTCAAAGCCTTTCAACATTTTTTAAAAATATACCCAGATTAAATTAAATGCTGTTCATGAACCCAGTGGAGTAAATTCAAAGGCTTGGTCCCAATTGAAAGATCGCCATCTGAATTTTTTACTTCTGCAGTCATAATTATTGTAATTCTAACTACTATTTATTGAACTTAAAATACACTAAAATACAAATATTTTTTCTTAAAATATTTTAATAACTTTTATATGCTGCTTTACAATTAAGAAAGCAGTTATTCAGCCAAAATTTCTGAGCCTGTAGTATGAATTCACAACTATAACCAATTAAATTTGGTAAAAATAGCATTAAAATTACACAAAAACTTGACTAAGTGCTCAAATGAAACATAAAAACCACATGAATCGTATTCTACCATCCATATTTCTATTTTTTTATTTATTTCATTTAATTAAAACAGAACAAAATTTAACATAACACAAACACGATAYGTTTAAAATGAAAAAGAGCAGAAAGAAGAAAAAAATCTTATAACGTATGCCCCATTTAACAAGAAAATATATATATTACATACACTCCTACATACTGTATACCGGTGACACGCACATAAATAAAGAATTCATACCCTAACAATCAGCAAAAAGAAGAGAAAAATAAATAAGATTAGAAAATTATCCAAACAGCAGCTTATACAATATGAATGCTTAATATATGTTTTCATATTTTGTCAGCAAGTCAGATTTTACCAATCTTTCAAAAAAATTATCAATAATCAGCATCATAAATCAATCTCAGAGGCTGTAGTGGGTCATGTGAAGGACAGGCAGGAGTTTAATTAAAACAGGTCATTTTGAAGAACTAATGCTTTTATCAGGACTATTTCGTTTTACCCCAATATAGAGCTGGACAATATTGACGAATTTATCACAGTTTATTGTAGCGTTTAGTCATACAGGTAAATGGGGTGTTTTTTTTAAGTTAAGTTTCTTTTTTGACAAGCCTACCAAAATAAAATAACCTAAGACAAAACGACTCAGAGCTTCTCAGTGTCTTTTCTGGCATCGTGTTTTATTTTGAAAGGATCAGAAAGTGGAAACAGTGGTCTCAAGTGAGCTCAACTTCAACATTATAAAAATGTGATTTTGCTCAAAATGTCCTTCTGGATCATTTAGTAGTGCCAGTTCATGAAGCCCTATTCTGGTTAGTTTCCTGCCAGAAATTGTATGATTTACCTGCCAAAATTGGGAGGTCTAAATGTTTAAACATTGGTTTAAAATGGACCACTTGTAAGTRTTTGAGCTTAGAGCTGTTTTAGGATGACAATAATCCACATTGACCCTAGTCAAACTTGCTAATAACTTATTAATCAGGTCAGAATTATTATTTTTAATTTTCGCAAACTGAACCTATTAAAAAAGCTTTTCACAACAAATAGGATATCACTTATGACCAGACAATGAATAAAGTCGTCAGTGTACAGTATAGTTGTAGTTGATTTTCCTCAGTGACTAATTAATTAATACAGTGAAACTTTACCTCCGTCTTTCTTTGACCCAACACTAATTCACCTTTTCCTCACCAGTACTTGACCTGTTTGAAGACATCCAGGTCTCTGACAGATAAGCTGTCATTTGATGTGGGGCTGGAGGAAGACTCAATAGGTACAGTATGAAGAAGAATTCACTCGTTTATTACAGTTTGTTGAGCATTAATCAGCTTGACTTAACCTTGAGAATAAACCAGTGCTGATGGTAGACATTTAAACTGCACATAGATTGGACTGTGTACAGTATTTCTTCGTGTTAAAGTATTTTTTTCTTCAGTATTTCCAGATGAGGGGTGATCGTTTCAAGAAACAAATAAATGAAAAGAACCCAATAATTGTTAAATTGTCATTTGTTTACCTACCTTTTTTATCCCCTGCTCAACCTTTCCATTCATTGATGTTTAAAGGAGAGTCCTGCTGGTGGACGATTCACCCTGCGTCCAAGCAGAGATCAGAGGGAGAGAAAGTTCGCATCGGAGACGATCTGATTCTCGTCAGCGTGTCAACTGAGAGATACCTGGCAAGTCCCCTTTTTATATCTTTTAACCTCACAATAAGGTAGGCAGGGTAGGCATTCACCTAGGGCCCCGAGCTAAAGGGGGACGACGAGGGATGGTAGTGGTCAAATAAACAACACAAAACACTGATGGTGATCATATTTTTATAAGTTACTATTATAAATCTAAAGCTGCCACAAATATAATATCAAACTATTTAATGTGACCTAACCATTGAAAACATGGATGAAATAAGAAATAGAAAACATGTAGAGTTTTCTTTTTTCAATACATTTGTGCTTAGAGAAAAGCTTGATAATCACAACAACATATGTTTATAATGACATTTCTTTAAAAAATAGTGCTATAAATGACATAACATTCATAATAATTGATAACTGCTGTTCATATAATTCTGGTTAACATAGTTGAAAGTGGGATGTAGTAGGGCCACAGCTCTTGCCTTGGGCCCCCCTGGTGTCAGGAAACTGCTCTGTCTTTAAGCAAAATATAAATTACCATTGTCAAGCAACAGTATAGAGGTTCAGAATTAGCTAATGATAATTAGCTACCAATTTTGAGAATGCCTGGAAATCAGCCTTGGTAAAACGGGCTCTTCTCTTAGAACCAGTCGGGATGAAGACTTCAGTCCTCTTCTTCATGCTCTTTACTCTGAAGTCATGGCTGATACGGTACTAAGTATTCATAACTATCTCTAACAACCATGTTAAAAAATGCTGAAAATAAGATACGCTGTCTTTCCTACGCCTGAAAGTTCTTATGTAAAAATCATTTTCTGCCTTTATGTATGTTTTTTTTTAAGATTATTTAATCCAAACATGCTTTAAGCCTTTAAAGGGGTTTTCAGAGACTGCAGCTTTCTCACTCGAACCAACCTCAGAGTGACGAGGGCATTTGATCTGAAAACAGGAAAACTTCCCACCTCTACCTGTAAGAGAACTCTGATTACCATTGAAGGGCCTCTGCATGTTAAAAATATTTTTTCATGGACTCATCCATCTGGCTAAATGAGCTCAAACTTAATGGCTCCTTCCATATGCATAGCTGCACGCTCGACCTCAATTAACTCGCCTGGTAAAGAAGATGGCGCTTATAAGAGAGGAAGGATTGACGTGCCAGGCATATGAAAGTTTATAGCAATGTTTTTTTAGAGGCTGCTCGAGCCCTCCTGGGAGAGAAATATGCAATTATATCAAAACAGGACAAGCGCCAAATTTAGCCTCTAAAAACAAAGCTTATTCAAAAAGTTTGAAACTCGCCCTTTTAAGAGTGGTGCTCAGAGAAAATCAGGTCAAAGCAGTCACTGTTCTGTTACTGGGAACAACTGAAGGTACTATTTTTGTACATCTCAGACCTTTTCTGCTTTGTGTCTCGATGAAATCCACCTAAATATCACTGGCTTCCCCCCACTTTGCTCTCAGCTCTGCTGTTCTCAATGTAGAGCAGAGAAAATGGTGATTAATCATAGGAGGGAGAGGCAGTCATATCCAGACACTGCAGTGCAACACTTCATTAATCTAAATTATCTCCACACAAAGACATGAAGTGAACGTTGCACACAAAACCATCATCTAGTGTTTGTTAAAACGATAACTTAAAGTGAAAGTCCGGCCATTTTTAAAGTGCTGATCTGTCAATTAAGTAATTAGCTTTGACTTCAGTTATAAAGCACAGATTATAGACAAACTGGCAGGTTAGGCTAATGCTTAGCCAAACGAGGACTCTTTTTGATTGATTTAAAGGTTTCTAAAACAGCTGTTAAATGTAACCTGTGTGAAAGAATTAGCTAACGATAAACTTTAAACTTGTTTTATATGAAGCTAAAGAAGTTTTTTTATTATTATTATTTGAAGCTGAAAAATTATTCTGAAAATGAAAGAAAAAAGTTCTAAACTGCTGGTTAGATTAGAGTTATTTTTTAATTAATTAATTAATTAATTTATTATTATTATTATTTTCAGTTTTATATTTTGTTTCCCCAGTTTCAAACTTTTAGCCCTGTTTTGGTTTGGGGGCGGGGCATCAGATGTGGGTGTGGAATCATGACTGACAGTTCAGCACAGCGCTGGACAAAGTGTTCTCAGATGTTGCATTCAGGAACCGTGGGAACTGGAAATCTCTTTTAAACATCATCGATATTCAAAGTTTAAGTCAGTATTTTTTTTCAGCTGTGTGTCGTGTTTTATCCAGCTTATATCAGTGAAYTTTAGTTTTTCAGTTTTAAAATAATTTTAGTTGCCATCGTCTCATTTATGTGCTGTTAAGTCATTATATGAGAYGGTGCTGAGGCTGCAGAAGTATCACTCTTCCTGGTCAGATCGTCTCATCGGTCCAAATGTTTACTTAACTCCCAGCAGACTGTCACATTCAGCAGCCTCAGCACCATCAGCATTTACACTCTGTGTGCTCAGCACGCACACGTTTGCACATACGCAGTTAGCTAATGTAGCTTTCTTTCACACCAGCATAACATAGACCCTTGTTTGGCTAGCCGTTAGCCTAGCCTGGTCAAAAACATCTACATTTTTTTCCTCACTCCAGTGCTCTAAATGTTGTCAAGACCGATAAAGTACTAATTATTAATAGTTATTGACAAAACCTCGTTAAAGAGTAAAAGGACTACTCTGTTTAACTCCAGACTGACTGGTTGGTTTAGGAAATTTGGGCTTTGTTTTGAGTTGTTTCCAAGTTTCTTTGTTTCTTTTGTCTCTAAAAAATAATTATTTCTAACTCACACTTAGCAGTTATTAGCCTACATTGTTTAGCAGTTATTAGCCTACATTGTTTAGCAGTTATTAGCCTACATTGTTTAGCATTTATTAGCCTACATTGTTTAGCAGTTATTAGCCTACATTGTTTAGCGGTTATTAGCCTACATTGTTTAGCGGTTATTAGCCTACATTGTTTACAGCGTTGTTTTTGTTATTGGAAAACTAGTTAGCCATCTGAATCTGCAGTAGGTGTCTGGCGTTCTGCCTGAAGTCTAGCCTACTTTTCTCTTGCAGCATCTCTCCATTTCTAGCAGCAACATTCAGGTGGACGCCTCCTTCATGCAGACTCTGTGGAATGTGCAGCCTACCTGTTCTTCAAGCAACATGGCTGTAGGTGAGCTCTGTAGGCCTGCAAACAACAGCACCAAACACTCAGTTTCATTTATTTTCTGAAAAAACTGGAAAACTCTGAATGTTTTTCTAAAACAATGAGCATTTTCAGATTTAAATAAATATTTGATTAGAAATAATACATCTTTGACAGCTTTTAACAACGTAAAGCAATGAAAAGTTTCAATGAAACCTTTGTTTGTTTTTAGGGTATTTGATTGGTGGGCATGTGATGCGTCTGTGTCACGGTCACGATGAGAGCCTGACCATTCCTGGAGCCGACAGAAGTGAGGAAGAGCAAAGGTCAGAAATTAAATGATGCGTCTCGGACCTTAAACTAATTCTTGTCAAGTTGTTTGGTGATTTAAAGTACTCAGCATTTGTTAACACTTTCAACAAGTAGTTTTAAGATTTTAATTAGTGCACCTGGACAAGGTGCTCTGTATTTCAAACTTGTCAAAACTCTTTAGGGACCATTTTGCTTTTACAGTTGTCATTTCAATAAGTTTAGAGGGCCAGTATCAGGAAGGAAATAAATAAAAATAGGTTATTTTCCTATAAAGTTGTATACAAAGTAATTTAATTGTGTCTTTTGTACACAGAATAGTGAACTATGAAGCAGGTAAAGGAGCTTCAAAAGCCCGCTCTCTGTGGAGACTGGAGCCTCTCCGGGTCAGGTAAGATCAAAAGAAATATTGGATTAAAGCACAGCGTTRAACATCAGTTTAAATCAGACAAAGATGATTGTGATTGATCACCTAACATGCTGCCTCTGTGTCTATCTTAGTTTCTGTTTTTGTCACACTTTAATATTAGCATTCATGCTAACAGTATTTTACTTCTTTTCCTCCTGGTTTTTGTCAAGATCCTCGTCTTCCTCCACAGCTTGATCATTCACCAACTTCTCCAAAAAACGCTGCTATTATTGTCCCTGAAGCTTTACAACAGAATAAACGTTTGTTGTTGTTTAATTAATTTTCTTACACTTCCACCAGTAAACACCATCCCGTCACAATAAAAGCCATAACACACAACTGTTTAGTGCGATAATGTTTTTAGCCGTTGATTTAATTTGCCAGCTGTTGCTCGCTTGAACATTGCAGTGACTGTGTTCAAATGATATATGGTGCAGCTCTGGAGTGAATGGTTGTGTTTGTCCCTGTGATGGACCTAACCTGTCCACGGTGACCCCGCCTCTCACACAGTGACTGCTGGGTTAGGCAGCAGCTCCCCCCTGACCGGGGTAAAGAAAATAGAAGAATGGACGAGTTTAAAATCAGATGGATGAAATCTGAAAACAACGACAAAGCGTTCAAGTCAAATACAAGCAGAAGTGTGCAGCACAGATCATGTTTGTGACGTTAGCTGTCTGTGTTTAGCTGGAGTGGGAGCCACATTCGATGGGGTCAGCCCTTCCGTCTGCGCCACCTCTCCACCGGTCGTTACCTGGCGTTGACTGAGGACAGTGGTCTGGTCCTGCAGGACAGAGAGAAGTCCGACACCAAGGCTACTTCTTTCTGCTTTAAGCCATCTAAGGTCAGCTCTCATTTATTACTTTTTTGCTTGTTTCTGACATTTTATACYGTCTCATAATGGTGCTGTCAATAAATGTCTTTTGCTAATTTGYCTCATTAAACCGGAATAAGAATCTTCCACTGGTTCCTTTATCAAATCCTCCCAGGTGCTCATGTTAGCTGTTAATGAGCTGAAGTCTCACCACCATGATTTGACCTTTTCGCTGTGGCTGAGCAGACAATGACATAAATGTTGGAGCAAACAATATAACCAACATAATCCCATCTCCCGTACTTAATCCACTTTCAGCAAAGATTTGAAATTTATCTCTCTCCCAGAAATAATAGGAAGTGTTGTGATACATTTAGTGTTCTTTTATTAGGTTTATTTGAATCCATTTTAAATTTGTTTTATTTTTTATAGCTCCTGTTCATGACAAAAGTCACCTCGGACCACTATAGAGCTTTATAAACCAAGTTCACAAAATTAATYCAATTCAGATTATAATTCATTCAAATTATAGCACAATACATTCAGCATATTATAAAGACCAGTTAGTAAATTATTATAATGTCCTTTCTAATTATGAAATGAAATTATGCTCAGCTTAGTTGAGTTTATTCAAATTATTTTATTCATAAAAACAAAATCTGTATACAGTAAAACAAAAATAAAAAGTAAATCATGTTGTGAATGAAAAGGGTTCAGAGTGAAGAAAAGAAATTAATTTCAAAAAACAACTTCTACACACAAACAAACACAAGCCTCAACGATCTCCAAATATACAAACAATAAAACAAACATCAGATATCATCATATCTTATTTTCACTTAATCATCTTTTTAAATATGTAAACTGTTTTAGAGGTTTTTATAGTGATAGCAGTTATTATCCTATATGCTTGTAAAGTGACAGTAGTTGTTTGTTTGTTTGTGTGTTTGTTTTAATACCTGTTAATTGTTTGTGTTAATACCTTGTTATTCAGTGTTAAATCCCCCATAAAAGAGAACAAAACGTCCTTTTATAGAGACCTGTTTTCTCTGCAGATATCTTTTTATCTGAAGTCTCCTGACTTATTAAACTCGTGACAAAGGTTGCCCTGAACCGCTTCAACAGCAGCCTTGAGGATGTGAACAGAATATGCTGTGTCCAAAACGACAGGCCGGGTCCTCCGGAGGACCCAGACTACTTGGTTGAGGTGGGCTGGGTCCTTGGTAGACCGGGAAGACCAGGAAAAAAAAGAGGCTGTGAATTTGGACGGTCTAGCCTCCCCTCCACCCCGGCGTACGTCAGGTCACCTAGCAACCACGACGATGYTAAACAAGCAAACTTAAATCAAAATTAGAAAAATATCAATATACAGTATTAGCATTATTAATATCACAAAACTATAAAATTAACTTAAAGGCAACATTTGAAGAACTAATTGACCTGCTGTAGGTGCATGTTTACTTCGCGTTTTTAATTGATAAAAATAATATTTAAAAATGCGTCTGTACAAATTATAAAAGTATTATAATTACAACCGCTAAAATTTTTTATTTAAAACGTATTCTTTTCTCTCGCTTCGTCCGCCATTACTAGCTTGAAAAAAATCTCTGGTTGGGCCGCAAAGCATTATGGGATATGCTGGGCCGGGAAGGATCCATCTGAYCAGTCCTTCAAATCGGGGAAAAGGAAGGACGTATTTGTCGATCGCATCGGAGGAGTCTTCGGTTTGGGACGTCCTTCGTCGCGGCGCTGTGACGTATGCGGCCGACAAATTCGGCCTTCAGAGGACCCGTCCTGTTGTTTTGGACACAGCCAAATAGACCCTCTATGTTCTCTGTTAATACCCAGTCTCTTCATCACCTAACTGCATTAGGCTGTGCCCGTCAGTTTCTACATGCAGGAAGGTCAGCTCCCTGCCATGTTGAACATTGTCATTAATAT